AAAAAWWWTYYTTTTTTTTTTCAATTACATTGATAAAGTATTTTAAGCAATATATAATTGATTAATGGTTTGATTTTTGGAGATCTCTATTAAAATTATTAACAAAAATTTAACAGTAAGGATTAAAATTATTTAGAGTCGGGGTTGGCCAGTCGCATACTCCCCTCCTCTCTTTCGATCCTCTTTCGGAGGGGATGCATTTTTCTATCAAGTCTTAATCCTTCGATTGAGTTTTTTTAGAAAGTGTTATCCTTTGCTTTGTTTCGTTTCTTCTGTAGTTTTTTTTTTTCAATAAGTGGCATAGATCGAAATATAATAGGGACATCTCTTACTGTTGTGGAGGTAATTTTCAGGGAGGATCGTTCTTCMTCTCTGGTTTCTATGATGACGGACGGTGAGCGGGTGTTGGGGATCTCGTTATTGGATGTTGATAGTGTTGTTGCGACTAAAAAATCAAAGGCAACATTGTCATGCATGATCCGTGGCTTCGTCATCTAGGTGTTTTAAAGAGTTATTAGGTACAGAATTGGAGAGGGCACTTGCATCTCTTGAGATGACTCCTCATTTCCATTGCATCTTAGTTCAAAGAATTTCTATGGTTCAAGGGTAAGGAAGACGGAGCAAAAGGTGGGCGACGATGGAGGTGCGTTAGCGATCGGTTCGAACATCATTTCTATGGTTTAAAGGTAAGGAAAACGGAGCAAAAGGTGGGCGACGATGGAGGTGCGGTAGCGATCGGCTCGAACATCATTTTGGAATCTGAGGAGACTATCAGTCTTAATTGTATTGAGATTCGTGACCCGCGTGATTTAAGAAATTTGTGTAATCATTCCTTACTTGTCATGGTGAAGAATAAGCCAACTTTTGAGACAATTATTTTCCTTCTAATTGTGAATAAAGATACCATAATTGAYAAGATACCTCCATTAATTGAGAGGTCTATTCCCCTTCATATTCTTAATTCTTTGAACAAACAACTTGTTTYGTAATGTATCATTTCTAATGGTTTCTATGTCATTTGGGACCGTTGTTTTTTTCGTGGATTGTGATGATGGATGGTCACCATTCTTCTTATATAACTTGAGTGATCCTATTTCTGAATGACGTGTTTCTTTGTTTCAAAAAATTATTATTATTATTATTACTACGGCATGAAAGTAAGTTAGGACTCATTTGAACAAAATATTTAGAAACTTAAATAATAAAATAAAATATTTGAAAAAAAAGACTCACCTCCTCAATCAAAATGTCTGAATCTCTATCCTACAATTATTTATATATATATATATATATAAAAGATAATAATAATAACAAGAATGAAAATAACAATGTGAACACATAATTCAAATGGTTAAGGTTGTAAAAAAAAGTTATACATATATTAAAAATTGCTTACAACCTTAATCATATATTTTTTTTCTTTTTTCTTTTTTTTTTCCTTTTCTAGTCTACGTTTCTTATAAGGTTTTCATTTAATTATTTCTTTTTACGGTAAAAAATTTATTTGTACTTTAAAAAAAAATTGTGAGGAAGAATATAAAATAAAAAATGAAATCATAATTCATAAGGTCTTAAAAAGGAAAGTTCTAAAATAATATTTAAAGCTATTCATTACGGGTAGGGCAAATCCAAGTTTGGAAAAACGGTGACTCACGCACTACAATTATTTACCTACCACAATTTTAATATTCGACTTTTTATTAAATTATTTCCATAAAAATTTAATATACTAACTGTTTAAAATATATCATAATCTTTACTGTTGAATACAAAAAGAAAAAGAAAATTACACTATTAACCAAGAGTCTATTAAGTTTCAAAACATTTAGTACATTATCATTTTTTCTTTCTAAATAAAATATTTGTTCTTCTTTTTAAAGTTTATATATTTTATTCAAATTGGCATTCCCTTGTCGGTGCTTTCTTCATTTCGGATAATTTTAAAACTCGTTTCGTTACATTCTTGTTTATTATTTCAAAGTAATTATAATTATATTTTTCTTTCTTAAAAAATGAGAAAACAAAAACAAAAAAAACAGAAATAGTTTTTTACCTTCTTTTAAAAATATTACTCAATTGAATTTAAACGTGAAAGTAACTATTCAGGAGAAGAAAAGTTTGAAAGAAGTTACGCATGACATCGTTGTATRTATTAGATCACATGGATCTATTTTAGAAGTTAGTCATGGGTCATTTTCTCTGGAGAACTAAAGAATAGGTCATATATTCCTCTAAAGAATTTGGACCATGAAAAGAAAGAATTTTTTTTATCTTTTTAAATAAAATATATGGGATGAGAATTCGACCTACGAATTTTTTGGTCGGGTTATATTAATCAATTGCAGGTTAGGATAGAAAGAAAAATTTATTGATTGGCAATCTTMCTTTATAATTGGTATGCTTGTGGCCGAACGAGGATACCTCTCCCTAGTTCGAGGTCCTCATTTGAGGATAAGTCCCGCAACGTCGATTACATTATTGAATGACCGTTGACATCAAAGTTATAGAGATCCAACTAGCGAAACCACACGACATCGATTTCAAGTTATAAAACAAAAAAAAAAATTTGTTCACGTACCCAATTACCTTTTCTTCGATCTTCTCTTTAGAATCAAGAAAACGTAAATAAGTTATGAAGTTAATTGTCATTTTTTTCATTGACTTTTTTTTTCTCTTTTTTGGTGAAATTACCATTCTAGGAAAATATTTACAAATATGTCTTTAATTATAAATATTTACAACTTTATATGTACCATTATTTTATTCTTTTTTAATATTTCCTTCCTTAATTGCCTCTCTCATTTTGGTTTATATATATGAAGGGAAGATTTAATTTTGAATTATTTTAGATTCTTTCCTTATCTATTTAGGTATAAAAAACACAATCTCATTTATCGTGGGAATCTATTTGATTTTTCAATTACTTCGAATTCTCAGTTCCACGTATTA